AGCTCCCCTCCACCCGGTTCCCACCCCACCCTCTGCCCTCCCCCACCCCCACTGTCCTCATCCATAGGTGTACGATTTTTGTCCAGTTTCTTCCCGCATCCCCCACACTCCTTTCCCCCCGAGAATAGTCAGTCCACTCCCTTTCTATGCCTCTGATTCTATTATATTCACTAGTTTATTCTGTTCATTAGATTATTTATTCACTTGATTTTTAGATTCACTTGTTGATAGATGTGTATTTGTTGTTCATAATTTGTATCTTTACCTTTTTCTTCTTCTTCCTCTTTTTTTTTCTTCTTCCTCTTCTTAAAGGATACCTTTCAGCATTTCATATAATGCTGGTTTGGTGGTGATGAACTCCTTTAGCTTTTTCTTATCTGTGAAGCTTTTTATCTGACCTTCAATTCTGAATGATAGCTTTGCTGGATAAAGTAATCTTGGTTGTAGGTTCTTGCTATTCATCGCTTTGAATATTTCTTGCCACTCCCTTCTGGCCTACATAGTTTCTGTTGAGAAATCAGCTGACAGTCGTATGGGTACTCCCTTGTAAGTAACTGACTTTTTTTCTCTTGCTGCTTTTAAGATTTTCTCTTTGTCTTTTGCTCTTGGCATTTTAATTATGATGTGTCTTGGTGTGGTCCTCTTTGGATTCCTTTTGTTTGGGGTTCTCTGCGCTTCCTGGACTTGTAAGTTTATTTCTTTCACCAGGTAGGGGAAGTTTTCTGTCATTATTTCTTCAAATAGGTTTTCAATATCTTGCTCTCTTTCTTCTTCTGGCACCCCCATAATTCAGATGTTGGTACGTTTGAAGTTGTCCCAGAGGCTCCTTACACTATCTTCATATTTTTGGATTCTTTTTTCTTTTTGTTTTTCTGGTTGGGTGTTTTTTGCTTCTTTGTATTTCAAATCTTTGACTTGATTCTTGTGATCTTCTAGTCTGCTGTTGGAACTCTGTATAATATTCTTTATTTCAGTCAGTGTATGCTTAATTTCTAGTTGGTTCTTTTTCATAACTTCGAGGGTCTCACTAGATTTCTTGAGGGTCTCACTAAGTTTATCGGTGGTTTCTAGAGAATTCTTGAAAAACCTTAAAAGTGTGGTTTTGAACTCTATATCCAGTAGTTTGCTTTCCTCCATTTCTGTCATTTGTGTCCTGTTTCTTTGTCTCCGCATTTTTTATGCTTCCCTGTGTTGATAGAGTGGTTTTCTGTTCTAGGTGATCATACTTCTGGGAATATATCCTAAGAATCCCGAAACACCAATCAGAAAGACTATATGCACTCTTATGTTCATAGCAGCGCTATTTACAATAGCTAAGATTTGGAAACAGTGTAAGTGCCCCTCAGTAGATGAGTGGATAAAAAAGCTGTGGTACATTTACACAATAGAATACTATGCACCTATAAAAAAAGAAAGATCTCTTACCTTTGAGATAGCATGGCGGGACCTGGAGTGTATTATGCTAAGGGAAATAAGCCAGTCAGAGATCACATAATCTCACTTATATGTGGAAACTAATGAGTAAAATAAACCAACGAACAAAATAGGTCTAGAGGCATGGAAGCATGACACAGAATGACAGATCTTAGAGGGAAGAGGGAGAGGGACTGGAAGAGAAAAACCAAAAATCTTGTATGTACATATAGAAGTTCAGGCATTGTGCTAAACAAGTGATTTATTTTACATGAGATTCTTTTTTTAAAATTTTTATATATTTGTTATTGATTTTTTTACAGAGAGGAAAGGAGAGAGATAGAGAGTCAGAAACATCGATGAGAGAGAAACATCGATCAGCTGCCTCCTGCACATCTCCTACTGGGGATGTGCCCGCAACCTAGGTACATGCCCTTGACCGGAATTGAACCCAGGACCTTTCAGTCCGCAGGCCGACGCTCTATTCACTGAGCCAAACTGGTTTCGGCTTACATGAGATTCTTATCAAAAATGATAACAGATAGATAACAGATGTTCTATCTTATAGGAGAGGACACCCAGCTGAGGATCATGACTGAGAGTATTCATTCTCAGAGAAAGCTGCTAAGTTTACAAAAACACACCTCTTTGCCATCAGGCCGGCCACTAGCTGCACATTGTTCTTTGTGCTAAAGAATAATCAGGCACAGAACAGAATTGTGCTGTGGTTAAAAATACCTTTGTCAAACTGGGTTCCCAGCCTTAGGAGATGGCTGGGGGCAAATCATTTCACCTCACTGAGCCAAGGTGTCCTCAA